CACTGTGGGTGGTGCCACCCCTGGGCAGGTGATCCTGTATTGTATAAGAAAGTAGGCTGAGCATGGCCAAGGAGCAAGCCAGTAAGCAGCATTCCTCCATGGTCAATGTTTCAGCTCCTGTCTTCAGGTTCTAGTCCTGATCCTGCCTTGGCTTCCTTTGATAACGAACTGTATGGCAAGCCAAATAAACCCTTTCCTCCCCAAGCTTGCTTTGGCTAGTGTTTTCATCACAGCAATAGAAAGCTAACTAAGAAATGTGTATGTTTGTGTGTTTGTGTACATCTGTGTGTGTGTGTCTATGCCTCTGTGTGTGTATGCTGGTGTGTGTCTGCATGTATATGTGTACATGTTTGTGTGTGCTTGTGTGTGTCAGTGTGGGTATCTGTGTCTGCATTTATGTGAGTATATGTGTGTTTATGTATATATATGTGTATGTACATGTGTATGTGTATGCATGTGTCTATATGTATGTGTATATGTGTATCTGTTTGTCTATGTGTGTCTGTATCTGTGTGTCTATGTGTGCATCTGTGTCTGTGTGCATCTGTGTGTGTATGTGTGTCTGTGTGTGTTTGTGTGTGCACCTATGTGTATGTGTACATATGTGTGTGTCTGAACGTATCTGTATGTCTCTGTGTGTGTTTATCTATGTGGGTCTGTGTATTTGTGTGTGTCGCTGTATAAGTATGTGTATATGTGCATCTATGTATATCTGAGTATATCTCTGTGTATGCATGTGTGTGTGTGTCTGTGCATTTGTGTATGTGCATCTGTTTGTATATGTGCATCTGTGTGTCTCTGTGCATTTATGTCCATGTGTATGTGTGTGTGTCTGTGTATCTCTGTGTGTGTGTCTGTGTTTCTGTGTGTATCTGTGTGTGCATCTGTGTGTGGATATCTGTGTATATGTGTGTCTGTGCATCTGTGTATATGTGTATCTGTGTGTGTATATGTGTGTGCATCTGTATGTGTATGTCTTTGTGAGTGCATCTGTGTATATATGTCTGTGCATCTGTGTATGTGTGTGTGCATCTGTATGTGTGTTTTTTGTGTGTATGTGTGTGTGTGTACCCACTTCTGCTTTAGAAGGTACAGGATGGGCCTGGAATCTGCGTCTCTAACCAGTTGCCAGGTGCTGCTGGGGCTGCCCTGGAAACTGCACTGAGAATGACGGTTATGAACACAACAGACTTTATTCTCTCTGGTAAGATGCCCAGAGGCTGGTGCTTAGGGCTGGTATGGCAGTGAATTGTCAGGAACCACCCAGGATCCTTTGCACTTTTCACTCTTGCTCCCAAAGGCATGGCCATCACCTCCTGATCCAAAATGTTTGTTTGAGCTTCAACCATTCCAGCAGATGGGAAGGAGGAAGGGACAGTGGATAGCATATCTTCATGTTGTCTCCAAAGATACTTCATAGACATGATAAATCCTGAACTGGGGAAGCAGCTCAGTTGGTGGAATGCTTGTCTAGCATGCACAAGGCCCTGGGTTTAATTATCAGCACTGCATAATTGGGGTGTGATGGTACATGCTTGTATTGCTAGCACTTGGGAGGTAGAGGCAAGAGCATCAGGGATTCAAGAACACCCTCAGTTACAAAGTGAGCTTGAGGCTAGCCTGGGCTACATGAAATCCTGTCTCAAAAAAGGGGGGACTGGAGAGATGGCTCAGCAGTTAAGAGCGCTGGCTACTCTTACAGAAGACCCAGGTTCAATTCTCAGCACCCACATGGCAGCTAACAACTGTCTGTAACTCCAGTTTCAGAGAATCTAACACCCTCTTCTGACCTCTGTGGACATTGCATGACATGGTTGTACTTAACATGCATGCATGCAAAACACTCATACATATAAAATAAAAAATCAAAATAATAAACCATCCCATTTGGTCATAACTCAGTCACATATATAGTTGTACGGAAAGCTGGGGAGTGTGACGAACAGACACTGGGGACAACCAGGAGACGCCAACAAGACACCCACCTACCTTGTCTGCACAGGGTCAGGGAGCCAACTGAGCCAGTACCCCAGGCCTGGCACCCCAGGTCCAGCAAGTTACTATCAGTGACCTGAGGTCAGGCAAGTGACTGGCCCTCTCTGTATCTCACGTCCCCTCCTGTGAGGGCTGTAATGTCTTCCTGAAACACAACTTAGCAAGTCCCTCCCTGGCCTGGCACTGCACTTGGAACCTGTGATTGAGAAGGATGAAACAGGGGCATGGTACACGGTGCCCCTAGTCCAAGGACAGAGGGATGTGTGCCTGTGTCCTGCCGATGCTCTGCTGATGTGGGATGTTGAAAATTGCGACATAGGGAATGAAGAGTTGGGAAGGAATTGACACTGCAGAAACAATTCCCACCTACCCATCAGTGCTGCAGTGGAGATGGCTCAGGGGGTACAGGCTCTTCCTGCCAAAACTGACACACGACTTGAGTTCCATCCCTGGGACCCAAGTGGCACACACACACACACACACACACACACACACACACACACACACACAATGGATAGATGCGAATGTGAATTACAAATGGCTTTTCCTGCTGGGGCACAGATTCCTGGGGTCTCCCAAGGGACTGTTGCTGTAGAGATGATCTCATTGGCTTCTGGTGGCTTTAGTGACCTTGGGCTCGAGGCTCTGAGAAATCAGTTTCCAGAGTGTTTCCTGAATAGCCAAGCCCCTGTGCAGGAACTCAGGAGGAAGAAGCCTGAGGCAGTGGCAGAGATGGCTTGGATACTGGCCTGTAGGTCCCAGGGACCCCAAGAGCCATGCTGGGGAGACAGAGCCTGCTGAATGAGGTGGGGCAGGTGGGACAGAGTCACACAGGATGGACCCAGGTAGAACTTGGATGAGTGACTTCAAGGCTCAGAGGTGCCAAATCACAGGAGGAAGCATGGGAACAGGCCAAAGGCTATCCCTCAGCTGGGACAGTACCCCTGCATCCTGCCAGAGGTCGGTGTGTCTGGAGGAGGTCCCTGGGTGGTTTCCATGGAACAATCCCAGTCTCTTCTTCCTGGGAGGCGGCAGGAGGGCGGGAGTTGGGTCATTTTCTTGTTTCCTCCTCTCTTGGCTGTCACCTACCACCCTCGCCTCTGATGGATGGCAAAGACTGAGTCACACTAATGGTTTTCCATGGAGCCCTCAGAACTAATGAAGCTGCTAACGAGCAACCTGGTAAATGAATCAGGCCACTCCATCAGTCCTGTTCCTGCCTCTGCCAGGAGCCACAGAGTAGGCCATGACACACAACAGATGGGGGACATTGATGACCCAGGGGTGGGGATGGGTCTGTCACCCAGACTGGGTGTGGAAGAGTGGGGGAGGGGGAGAAGGACTTGCCTCTGGGTGAAGGGCAAAGGGATATGTGTAGGGAAGCCCGAAAAATGTGGAGAGAGATGAGAGAGATAGGTGACAGAGATACAGAGAGAGAAGGGATACATGGGGTGGGCTGAGAGTCTCCTTTCATGCAGACACCAGGGCACAAAGGTTGGAAGCCCCAGTCTTTTCCTTTCCCTTCTCCTTCCCCTTCCCCTTCCTCCTCTCCCCTCCTCCACTCCTCCCCTCCCCTCTCCATTCCTCCCCTCCCCTCCCCTCCCCTCTCCTCTCTTCTCCTTTCCTTTCTTTCAGATAGGGTCTTGCTATATAGTCCAGGCTGGCCTCTAATTTGCCATCCTCCTGCCTCAGCCTCCCCAGTGCTGAGACTACAGGCATCTATCTTCATGTTTTGTTTTCTTATGATGCTGAGGCTCAAACCCAGAGCCTTGCACATGCTAGGTGATCTGCCATTGAGTTGATCCCAGCTTCCAACCTTGTCTCTAAGGAGACCACAGTTTGAACAGATTTACCAGCTGTTTTTATATCAAAAGAAACCTGTGGCACCAGCTTTATCATGTGTTTTTACAGTGAGCCTCAGAGAGGTCAGGAAGCTTGTCCAAAATCACACAGTGACAAGTGCATATGGGTTCAAACCCAGAACAGTGAGACTCCAGCATCTGTACCCTTTGCACTGCCCTTAGGTTTGCCAGTATGTGGACATAAAAGGCATAACCAGAGACGGTAGATACACATTACTCTGGCTTGATCTGATTTTCTGTGTTGATAGAATTATTTGGTCAGCGTTTGGGATTCTGGAAACTCCTGTGTCTGGACTTCAGCAAGGCATTCAGCAAAATTTCTCACGACATCCTGTGGACACATGGTGATGCGTGGGTGAAATGGTTCACAGGCTGCAGGAAAGTCTCAGCACTAATCAGATGAAGGGCAGGTTCTAAAGATGGTCAAGGGAGCCAGGAGGCAGGTGTGACTCCCTGCCTCGGGGCTCTGTCCTTGGTCCTGTTCTGTTAATATCTCATCTATCATCTATCTATCTATCTATCTATCTATCTATCTATCTATCTATCATCTATCAATCTATCTATCCATCTATCATCTATCTATCCATCTATCATCTATTTATCATCTATCTATCATCTATCTATCAATCATCTACCAATCAACTATATCTATCTATCATCTGTATTTATCTATACATCCATTAATTCATCCGTGCACCCACCCATCCATTCATCTGAGACAGGGTCTCATGTATCCCAGGCTGGCCTTGAATGCAATATATAGCTGATGATAACCTTAAACTTTGGATCCTCCTGCCTCTACCTTCCAAGTGGTAGGATCACAAGCATGTGCCACTATGCTAGTTTATGTGGTGCTAGGGATGGAAGTCACAGCTTTGTGTATACTATAGGCAAATACTCCACTAAGATAGAGTTGCAGCATTTCCCATTTATTTTATTTTATTTTATTATTTTATTTTTTGGGCTTTTTGAGACAGGGTCTCCCTGTAGCCCCAGCTGGCCTAGAACTCACTATGTAGACCAGGCCTGCCTTAAACTCATAGAGATTCATCTGCTTCTGCCTCCCAAGTGCTGGGATTAAAGGTATATACCACCACGCCTGGCTCATGACTAGCAACTTTATAGTTTAAGAAGCTATAAAGATACTTTATTGCTTCAAATACCAGATTTAACATGTACAAGCCCAGAAAACCAACTATGCCAAATACTGAATTTCTACCACATTGTCCTTTGAGTTTTCAGGTTTGGTTTGGTTTTTGATTTTTTGAGACAGGGTCTCATGTAGCTCAGGTTGGCCTCAACTCACTTGAACTCCTGATCCTCCTGCCTCCACTTCCCAAGTGTGGAGATTATTTATTCATTATCCATTTATTTTTAACTATCTAATCTATTTATTTATTTATTTATTTATTTATTTATTTTTGAGATAGGGTCTCCATGTAGCCCCAGCTGTCCTGGATTTCACTATGTAGACCAGGCTGGCCTTGAACTCTCAAAGATCCTCTTGCCTCTGCCTCCCAAGTGCTGGGATTAAAGGCGTGCACCACCATACCCTGATATCCCATTTGTTTTTAATTATCCCAATTATTTTTAACTATCAAAGTAATATATGTCTACTGTATAAAAAATAACTTATAGATAAAAGAAAGAAAAAACAACTCACCTACATCTCACCAACGGCCAAACAGACTATTAAATTCACTGTAACTGTAATTGGTCATAATGAAATGTTGGGCCTGAAAAGTTACCACCAAAAGGCTTAAGGTGTACATGACATGCTCAGGTCACAGAGACATGGTGACACAATTATTCATTTATTAGTATTTTGTGTGTGTGTGTGTGTGTGTGTGTGTGTGTGAGAGAGAGAGAGAGAGAGAGAGAGAGAGAGAGAGAGAGATGTGTGTGGATAGGTGGGCACCTACCACAGTGCACGTGTGGAGATCAGAAGACAACTTTGTGGAGTTTGTTCTACCGTGAGGGCTCTGGAGACTGAACTTAGTCCTCAGCTTGCTCAACAATGGCAAACTATCAGCTGAACCATCTCATGGGCCCTGAAGCAGGCTTTGTCTGGCCCTGGAGCAGGGCTCTGAGCAGGGGTGGGCACTGAGGTGGGTCATCCTACCTTCCCATCGCCCACCTCTGCTTTGGGGACTGTGAATACAGGGTAGGTCACCTGGCTTCCTTTCAGCTTTCACTGAAACATCATTTAGGTTGTGACAAAGAAGACTCAGACCCCTGAAGCTAGGGATCTTTAAGCATCACTCACCGGTGCTTATTAAGTGTTTCTTACACAGACAGGGGCTTCAGCTAGGAAACCAAGACTATCACTGACTAACAGGCACTTTTTGAAAGATAACTAGTTTTCAGACATTGTTCTGAGTACTTTAGTGATAATTAAAAAAATAACTTTTAAAAGTAACTAACATGCACTAAGATGGACTTTTTTGTTGTCAGTATGGGTCAGTCTATGAATTTTTTTTTTTTCTGGTCTTTTTGAGACAGGGTCTCCCTGTAGCCTCGGCTAGCCTGGAACTCACTATGTGGCCTTGAACTCACAGAGATCTGCCTGCCTCTGCCTCCCGAGTGCTGGGATTAAAGGCATGTGCCACCACACCTGGCTATTGGTCTATGAATTTTTTTTTTTTTTGGTATTTTTGAGACAGGGTCTCCCTGTAGCCCCAGCTGTCCTGGAACTCACTATGTAGACCAGGCTGGCCTCGAACTCACAGAGATCTACCTGCCTCTGCCTCCCAAGTGCTGGGATTAAAGGAGTGTGCCACCACATCCGGCTGGTCTATGAATTTTAACACAGGTATAGAATCTTTTTTTGAGACAGAGTCTCGCTCAGTAGTCTTGGCTGCCCTGGAACTCATTATGTAGACCAGGTTGGCCTTACAGAGATCCACCTGTCTCTACTTCCTGAGTGCTGGGATTAAAGTCTGGAAACCCAGCCTCCACTCTTAATTTTTGACAACCACTAATCTGTTCTTTGTCAATGTAGCTTTATCTTTTTGCAAATGTCATGTAAGTGAATACAGGATGTAACCTTTTGAGGCAGGCTTTGTTCACTCAGACTAATTACCTTTGAGATTAATCTAATTTGTTCTGAGTATGAATGGTTCATTCTTATTACTACTAGAGGTAAATAGCCCAGTTTATGGATGTGTCATAGTTTATTCAATCACCCATTGGAAGACTTTGGGCAACTATAATAGATCTGCTATAGACAGTTATGCCTGGGTTTATGTGTGGACATTTGTATTCATCCCTTGAAGATAATTAATCCTGGAGTGGAATTCCTGGACTCTACATGCATTTTTTTTGTATGTTTTCTTTGTGGAAGACGTCAAAGTGTTTTCTAGAGCGGCTACACCACTTTGCATTCTCCCCATTCATGGGCAAGAGTGACGTGATTGTTCCGCCTTGTTTGAGTACTTAGTATTGTCAGTATTTATTACTATTATTTAAAAATATTTTATTATTTTTATTTTATGTGTATGAGTGCATTGCCTGTATGTATATAAGTACACCCATGTCATGCAATACCCATGGAGGTCAGAAGAGGGTGTTGGATCCCCTGGAAATGGAGTTATGAACAATTGTTAGCTGCCAGGTTGGTGCTAGGAATCAAACCAGGTCCTCTGTAAGAACAGCCAGTGCTCTTAACCTCTGAGCTATCTTTCTAGTCCAGTATTATCATTTTAGCCACCCTAATAGATGTGAACTGATATCTCATCCTGTGGGTGGATGTCCTAGTTTACTTTCTGTGATAAAACGTCATGACCAAATGCAACTTGGGGAGCAAAAGGATAATTCAGCTTCACAGGGTACAGTTCATTATGGAGAGAAGCAAAGATAGGAACTCAAGGCAGGAACCTGGAGGCAGGAACTGAAGCAGAGATCATAGAGGAGTGCTGCTTACTGGCTTGCTTCCTGGCTCATTTCTAGCTACCCTTCTTACATAGTCCAGACCTAGCTGCCCAGGGGTGGCACTGCCCACGGTAGGCTGGCCCCTTCTGCATCAACAAGCTATCAAGAAAATGCCTTACAAACATGGCCACAGGCCAATCAGATCAAGGCAGTTCTTTGACTGAGGTTCCTTCTTCCAAGGTGAGTCTAGGTTTGTGCCGAGTTGACAAAAACTAATCAGCGCAATAGGATGTTTATTTTTATTTATTCTTATTTTTTGTGCTTTTGAGATAGGGTCTTGTAGCCCCAGATGGCTTGGACCTCAATACATAGATCAGGCTGACTTTGAGCTTTCAGTCTCCTGTTCTTCCCTCCCAAGTGCCAGGGATTACAGACAGGTACCACCATGCCTAACTTTTTAAAAAAATTGTTTGTTTGTTTGTTGAAAGAGGGTCTCCCTGTAGCCTCAGCTGGCCTTCAACTTGCTATGTAGACCAGACTGGCCTTGAACTCACAGTCTCACA